TCGCCTCTCCCCTCCCCTCCCCGCCCTCCCGCTCCCCGTACACTTGATCGGCGGAGACTTGGGGCTGCCTGGCCGGGGCTTCCCCCTCACCCCTCCCTAGACCCAGCGCGCTCCTGACGCTCGCCAGTTACTTGTTGGGGTTTGTTTCTCTTGGCTCCCAGGGCAGGCGCAGGGCTTATAAGAGCAGTTCGGGCTGGGTCGGGGCGTTTTGTTTTGTTCGGTTTTGTTTTGCGAGAGCGCGCGCGAGAGGCGGTCGTAAAGACCTGGGAGGAAGATGTCAACCGTGAGAGTGTCTAACGGGAGCCCGAGCCTGGAGCGGATGGACGCCAGGCAGGCGGAGTACCCCAAGCCCTCCGCCTGCAGAAACCTCTTCGGCCCCGTCGATCACGAAGAGTTAACCCGGGACTTGGAGAAGCACTGCCGGGACATGGAAGAGGCGAGCCAGCGCAAGTGGAATTTTGATTTTAAGAACCACAAGCCCCTGGAGGGCAGATATGAGTGGCAGGAGGTGGAAAAGGCCAGCCTGCCCGAGTTCTACTACCGCGCCCCACGGCCACCCAAAGGCGCCTGCAAGGTGCCCGCGCAGGAGAGCCAGGATGTCAGCGGGAGCCGCCAGGCGGTGCCTCTCGTCGGGTCCCAGGCAAACTCGGAGGACTCGCACTTGGCGGAGCAAAAGACTGATGCGTCGGACAGCCAGCCGGGCTTGGCGGAGCCGTGCGCCGGGATGAGGAAGCGACCTGCAGCAGACGGTAAGGACCCTCCCCAAGCCATAAAATGTCTGTCTGTCTGTCTGTCTGTCTGGGGCACCGCCTTGCCTGCTTGCGGGGCTTGACCCATCCCCTTTCTTTTCAGCCTACTCCGGTGCGTAGCTTCTTGGGAGGGAACTTTCGTAATCTTAGGTTGCGCGTGCTGTCCGACTGCTTCTCTGTGTTTATGATTTGTGAGTCAGGAGCCCGAGATTGTGTTATCTGATAATTTTACTAACCGAAAGCATCGCAGATGCTCGCGTCTAGCCGGCGGTAGGTATGTGACAGCGTTGGGGTGTTTATCAGCGGCCTCCCGCTACACTTGGGAGAGAGCGTTTGGGGCGTAGCAAGCGCTCTCTGTTCTCTGAAAACAACCTCAGTCTGCGCCCTGAAAGGCTGCTTGGCATGACGGGGTCCAGGAGGGTGGGTGGAGGTGGTGGGTTTTTCATTCCCCGACTATTGAGCCAACTTCTGCCAGCCATTGTTTTTTCTAATAAAGACTGTGTGTGTTCTTTATTTCTTCTTCTTTTTTTTTAATCCCCTCTTGTCCCTAGATGCCTCTTCGCAAAACAAAAGAACCAACAGAACAGACGAAAATGTTTCAGACGGTTCCCCGAACGCGGGCTCCGTGGAGCAGACGCCCAAGAAGCCCGGCCTCAGAAAACGTCAAACGTAAAGTGCTCGGGTGGGTTGATGACCAGGAGCTAATAACTGGCACCCGAATCGGGCTGCAGGAACTCTCTGAGCCTTCCAATCCCAAGATAACCTGAACTCAGTGGCTGCGGGCAGATTAGAGCTTGTGGGTTTTTCTTTTGTTTATATTTTGTTAAGTCAAAAAACCAGGAATGACGAAGGCTGGGACATCACTGTGGGGATACTATATTTCTTCTCAGTTTCCATGTCCTCGGGTCATTTTCCCTTGGAACACGAAACGACGAGAGCAAGTGTCCCAGACAAGTCCTTGTCACCAGGGCCCTGTGGGTAGCAACGTAAGTTCCCTGTGAGTCCCACCAAAACTTGTTGGGGACAATAGGTTCTTTCCTCATCTGACCAAGACCTAGGGGTGGATACCTCAGACCCACTTCAGGAGAATTCATTTCCTAGAGGTTCAAGTTGAATAACATATTCTGGGCCATACATGGAAAAATGCCCCCCCCCCAAAAAAAATTAAATTTAAATTTTGAGAGAAATGTTAGGTACAACATATTTGGTTAGTCAAACCGAAATGCAAAAAGAGAGGCATGCTGTGTTCTTTTATCATTTTTATAAACTGTCACTTTCCCTGTTTTCTGATAAGTTTTGAGGTCAGAGAAGGAAGCTGCATATTTTTAAAAACCAAAATAGAAAGCTCAAACAACAACAACTAAGGTTCCTACAGAAGTTCTGGTAACACTGAAGTTGCAAAGCAGAAGTTAAATTAACTCTGCCAGAGTAAGCAATCCAGGAACACGTCAGCATGTGTATGCTAATCATGCTATACCAGGGTGATCTGGATATTTGTACGGGAAATGGATAGTAGATATCAGGGCTGTCGAGGGTGGGTCTACCCCCAAACAAGGGAAGTGGAGATTTTTCCATCTACTAAAATTGATCAACATAAATAATTTGAGTAACTCACCCCCCCCAACTTTACATGGATTAGCTTTTCATAATCAAAATATAGATATTAATAGTTTGTATACTTCTTACAGACAAGACTGTGACCTCTTCTCCTCTCCCCCACCCCCCATACATGCTCATAGCCTAACACAGGGGTCCTCAAACTTTTTAAACAGGGGGCCAGTTCACTGTCCCTCAGACCATTGGAGGGCCGGACTATAGTTTAAAAAAAACTATGAACAAATTCCTAAGCACACTGCACATATCTTATTTTGAAGTAAAAAAACAAAACGGGAACAAATACAATATTTGTATTTGCATGTGGCCCACGGGCCGTAGTTTGAGGACCCCTGGCCTAGCATATAAAGAGATCTTAATAGATGTTGGTACAAACTTTTGAAGTCCTCATTTATAAAAATTTAAAAATAAGTTAAAGAACCATAGGGATTAAGGTGGGATTCAAGTGTGTTGTGTTTTTAAATCATAATGTCATATATATGACTTCTTCAGATACATCTGCTATTTTCAGAGCTTATACAAAACGGAACTATAGACCCCTCTATATTACAGCTGTATATGAACGGGGAAATTGGATGAAAAACTGTTCTGACACATCCTCATCACCTGCAGCTATTGTTGGTTTGTGACTTGTGGCCTAGCTCAGTAGATGAGCCACCGTAAATCAGACCTACTGGATTTTGACCTGGTCCCATTATGACATAGGCATTTGTTAGTAAATATTGCCCTTTCAGAGAATACTAGAAATAATAGGAAGGCCCTCTTCTGGAGCATTCATAGGTATGTCCTGTATATGACTAAGACACTAGGATATTTTGAAAAAAAAAGTTAATAGAATTTTCTTTGTAGACTAGAAGTTATATTTTCCATTGTTTCTCAAATTTAGAAAATTTTGCAACTCTTAAGTGTTACAGTTTCTTAATTTTCCTCTCTCTGTTCATTCTCACCATCTTTGACCCCCATTCTCTAGAGCAGGGTTTCTCAACCTCTGCACTGTTGACATTTTGGGCCAAGTAAGTCTTTGTTGTGGGAGGTTGTCCTGTGCATTGTAGAATGTTTGGCAGCATCCCTGGTCTCTCCCACTCCATGCCAGTAGCACCCCCCTTGTGACAACCAAAAATGTCTCCAAACATTGCCAAATGTCTCCTGGGGGACAAAATTGCCCACTGTTGAGAACCAGTGCTGTAGACAAAAGTACACAACACAGAGGAGAGCAAAAATTCAGTGAAGGGAAGAAACGTTGGATAGAGATGACTATAGTCATCAACTTTTAGTACATACTTTCTTTTTCATCAGGTATTTCCCAACGAAGACAGTGACAAATAATTCCTGTACTTTATTGGTAATGTTATTCTAGTACGTTTCTCCTAATTCTTTCCTCTGTTTCTCTTGCAGAATTGAGACTATGTTTCCTTGTTTATCAGATACATCACTGCTTGGCGAAGCAAGGAAGATATGAATTAAACATTTTAAATACATATCGCTGACTCCATGGAATGGATGTCCTGTATAAGCACTGAAAAGTAACAACACAATAACACTAAAATTTTAGGCACTCTTAAGTGATCTGCCTCTAAAAGCATTGGATGTAGCATCGTGCAATTAGGTTTTTCCTTATTTGCTTCATTGTACTACCTGTGTATATAGTTTTTATCTTTTATGTAGCACATAAACTCTGGGGAAGGGAGGGGAGGGGGGGAGGGTGGAGCTGAGGAATTGGCTTTGGGAGGTATGAAGAGCTTGCTTCGATTTAGAGCAAGGAGAAAATTATTTGACTTAACATGAAGAGAAGCAGTTTAAGGAAAGGGTTTGAATTGTTTTCTTTAAAGTTGTAATGTCCCTTTCAGTGAAAACTGATACTTCGTTTTAAAAATCATCCAAATTTGAACACTGGCTGCAGATAACTGCTATTTATTTTTTACATGAAGCTATTTTTTTCATTTGGGAGCTCTGATTATTCCGTTATGTAGCAGTAAATGGCTTTTTTTTTTTTTAACAACAACAAAAAACTGTCCTTAGTGCTCCCCTTAAAATTGGAATTTACCAGTTAATTATTTAGCAGTTAGGTAATCACTCCAGGTAATTATAGGCAAAAAAATATAAATGGGGGTGGGGGGGGGGAGTCTGAATGCTCAGAATCAACCATCTAATTTTTATCAGATTTGTTGAGAAAATTTCTGAATTTTCTTTTCAGTTTGGGCTGTGTAGACAAAGTCAAAATAATTCTAAATCCTTGGATATTTTTAAAAGATCTGTAAGTAATTTCATATGAAAAATAATGAAATACTTTTAAATTTAAAGCTTCTTATTCTATTTGCTAATTTGCCCAAAGGAAAGTAGTGTTTTAAGAGGAAAGTGTGTATACAAAAAGCCCGTCTGGTATAAGTGAAATGGATACTACATCTTTAAACAGTATTTTTCATTTCCTGTGTATGTGTATGAAAAAAAAAACCATTTGAAGTGTACCTGTGTACATAACTCTGTAAAGACACTGAAAAATTATACTAACTTATTTATGTTAAAAAAGATTTTTTTTTAATCTAGACAATATACACGCCAAAGTGGCATGTTTTGTGCATTTGTATATGCTGTATTGGGTAGAATAGATTTTCCCCCCTTCTTCTGTTAAATAATATGGCTGTGCTTAAAAGGTTGCATACTGAGCCAAGTATAATTTTTTGCAATGTGTGAAAAGATGCCAATTATTGTTACATATCAAACAATCAATAAAGAAAGCTTCCATAACTATTCATTGAGTTGAACTGTGTATATTGTGTTTTACTAAGCTTGAGGTATTCAACCTGGCATTTTAGTCATGTTTACACAAATATAGTAGGAAGTGGAAAATACCTAGACAATTCAGGCCCATAACTCATATGTTTATGTGGATCCGAATGTAGTAGTAACTGTTTTCCAATTAGTTCTGTAGGGGTGGACAAAGCTTTAGAAGTAAAACGTGGAAAAGCCACATTTTCATGTAAATAAGATTGTTAAATTCTCCATTAGTTCAAATATGTCTTCTAGGATATAAATGTGTCAGAACTAAAAATTCTTACATAAGTGTACACTGATCACACATTTGTAGGATTGAAAATGAAAGTAACTGGTGACTTCTCTAAATTCTCTATTTACACATGCGAAGTATTGTGGGGAATTAGAGCAATTGTTTAGAGTGTCTAATCTACACCCCTTATGCAAAATACTCAAATTTATAGGCCCTTTAGAAATTACTGTGCATTCCACACTAATTTAGATAAAACCAGCATTCTTCAAATTTCACTGGTCATCATACACAAGTTCCTAAACTTATAAGTTTCCTGGTAATCCACACAACCCAAAATTGGTTAACCTAAACACAAAAATCTGAGGGTTTTAGGTTCTCATATTCACATAGCAGAGATAGTTTTTACTTAAATAAGAAAAAAAATTCGGACATTTTAAAGTCAGATTTACTAAAATCCTGTAATTTTACATTCTTTTCAAAATGTAAAAGTAAATTATTTTTTTTCTAGGAAACTGCAAATGGTTAAATCGCAAAAATCTGAATTTGAATTAAATTGTTTCCCTCAAGTAGTTACATTTACATTGTTGCGCCCCAAAAGGGGGCTCTAAAGAAGATAGTTTCAGCTTATTTTGACCCGAAATTGCGTGTGTGTATGTGTGTGTGTGTGTGTGTGTGTGTGTGTGTGTTTTAAAAATAGGGTTCTCTCAACAGCTGCGGGAAGGGAAAAGTAGGTCCTTCGCTGGCTGGGCTACATTTTCCAAGTAGGTATTATTTTAATTAAAGACTGAAAGGTGTTTTTGTGATTCTATTCAAAACACGTATGGGTGTTTTTCAGGAAGACACTAAGAAAACAAGAAAAACAGTTCAAAATGGGGAGGAAGGAGTGGAGGGAGAATCAGGAAATAATGAAATAAAGTTTCTCCGAACCAAAAAGGGTACTTTAAAAATAAAAAAGTTTTTTCTAACATGAAAACATTCCTCTTAATTGTTGCACGGACCCCATTTCCCTTTCCTAAAGAGGCACCTTTAATGTGAATTTTTAGAGGTTGCGTTTTAGGAGTGCTGGGCCAGGAAGCGGTGGATGCTCGCCGCGCTGGGCACGCTCACAGCAACGCAGTCCCCAGTCGTCGTGTTGATCCATTCCACTCCTGTGTCAAGTCTCCAAATGCGTCCCCCGCGATTCGGAGCGTCCTCTCCCGGGTCCTGCGTCGC